CAAGTGTTCTCAGTGGCATCTACAATGGTAAACCCTTTCCAGGAGGATTTTCAATTTACTTTGCCTAGATTCACCAGAGGAATCACTATTATAACATCTATAGCTTTTCAAAATGTATTTTTAAAATAATAAGACTTGATCTGTGTGCTGTAAATGGATGTCACAAGCATAAAAAACATTAATCTCATTGCACATCTTCATCAGAGTTTTTGGGTGACCAGGTGCATTGTCAATGAGCAGTAGTATTTTTAAAGAAATCTTTTTTTTCCTGAGCAGTAAGTCTCAACAGTGGGCTTAAAATATTTAGTATACCATGTTGTAAACAGAATTGCTGTCATCAGACTTTGTTGTTCCATTTATAGAGCAAAGATAAAGTATCTTTAACATGATTCTTTAGTGTTCTAGTATTTTTGGAATGGCGATTGAGCACTGGCTTCAAATTAGAGTCACCAACTGCATTAGCCCATAATAAGAGAGCCAACTGTGCTTTGAAGTTTTGAAGCCAGGCATTGACTATGAAAGGCCCAGGTAACATCTTCTTCCACCGTAAGGCTGCATCATTTACACTGAAAATATGTTGTTTAGTTTAGCCACCTTCATCAATTATCTTAGCTAGTTCTTCTGGCTAACTTGCTGCAGCTTCTACATCAGCACTTGCTGTTTTACCATGTACTTTGATGTTATGGAGATTGATTATTTCTTTAATCCTCACTAACCAACCTTTTCTAGCTTCACACTTCTTTCCTGTTGCTTCCTCACCTTTCTCGGCCCTCACAGAATTAAAGGGAGTTAGGTCCTTGCTCTAAATTAGACTTTGGCTTAAGGGAATGTGGTGGCTTATTTGACCTTCTATCCATACCACTAAAACTTTTCCCACATTAGCAAGACTTTATTGCTTTCTCATCATTCATGTGTTCACTGGAATAGCACTTATAATTGCCTCCAAGAACTTTTCTTTTGCATTCACAGCTTCACTAACTCTGGCACAAGAGGCCTAATCTTTGACTTAGCTCAGCTTTTGATATAGCTTCTTCACTATGCTTAATTATTTTTAGCTTTTGATTTAAAGTGAGAGATGTGAGACTCTTCCTTTCACTTTAACACATAAAGGCCATCATAGGGTTATTAATTTGCCAAATATTAATATATTTTGTTGTGTTTCAGAATATAGGGGTGCTTGAGGAGAGGGAGTGAGATGGGGAAAGAGCCAGTCAACTAGAGCAGTTAGAACACACACAGCATTTATTAATAACATTCACCATCTTATATAGGCCTGGTTCCAAAACAATTGCAATGATAACATCAAAAGCCATTGATCACAGATCACCTTAACAAATATAATAATGAAAAAGTATGAGATATTGTGAAAATTACCAAATCGTGACACAAAGACACAAAGCAAACAAATGCTGTTGGAAAAATTGAGCCAACAGACTTGCTCAACACAAGGTTGCCACAGGCCTTCAATATGTAAAAAAAAAAAAATAAGTGTAAAGTGCAATAAATGAGCACAATAAAATGAGGTATACCTGTATCATATTTTTTCGCATTTCAATTCGTTTTGATTGCTATATATCTTTGTTGATATTGTCCTTTTTCTGATTTTCTTTTATTCTTTATCCATGTTTTCATTTAGCTTCTTCAGCATTAGTACAGTCATTTAAAAAAATCTGTCACTTAATTTTCTTCCTTTAAATGAGATGTGTTTCCTGTTCCTTTTTATACCTTGTAAATTTTTTAAAAATACTCACTTTTCCCAGTGTTTCAGACTGGCTCTGTGCAGGGGCAGTTCTTTACTAATTTGCTGGGGACCTCTGAGCCTTGCAATCAGCCTGCAAGAAAACTTGTGGTCTTCTGGTATCTTTTGTGATATGTGTCTTTCCAGAGCCTCTGAGAGGCTTTTTTAAAAATTTTCCCACATTCTTGGATGTTTTTAAATGTCTTATTTTTCCAAATAGTCTCATGCAAGCATTTCTTTAGAGCTTAGATGGTCTATTGTATGTTTCCACCCATAATATCTTGCCCCAGAGGTCTGCAGTCTTAGTCTCTCTTTAGCTTTCTTGAGCAGCGTCCATTGCTTCTTTCCATCTAAGATTTAAGTTAAGTAAATTAAGGCAAGTCCTTCAGGAACCGCTCAGTCAAGTTGCAATGTTGAAAATATGGTCTCCTCTGCTCCCATCAGTTTAAGGGGCCAGGGGAGAATTGGGAACTGCTGCTGTCTTCAGACCAAGACTGTGCCATGCCAGGGAAGAAATGAGGCAAAGGTGAGCAAAAAGCCACAAACTCCTCTGCCATTTTGGCTTTCTCCTCATGGGGATTTGCTTGTGTTGCCTTAGACCATAGACTGCTTCCAGAGCTCCTGGAAGTTTCTTTTGTTCCTTACTTCTTCCCTTCCTTCCTTCCTTCCTTCCTTCCTTCCTTCCTTCCTTCCTTTCCTTCCACTCTCCCCTCCCTCTTTCCCTCTCTCCTTCCCTCTTCCTTCCTGTCTTTCTTTTAAAAAATATTTCCAAGGAAGAACAGAAGTTAGGGCTTCCTAGTACACTATTGTACTGAGTTCACTCTCCAGATTATTTTTTTTCCAGGATTAGGTAAAACCTGCTTATAAGTATCACTGCTGTAAGGTGCACATGGTCATTTAAATCCTATGTGTTTGGTCACTGATGGTCACTGGAGTAATGTTAGCTTCAGCCTTTCATTCTGTTGGGAGATCACAGTGCCTCACTTTTTCTGAGCTTAAAATAACTTTTACTTTATCTCTAGTAACAACCATATATTTTTTTATAAAATAATATACACACCTTTTTTGTTGTTGTTTTATTCACTATTTTAGGTTCTCCACACAGGAAGGTTTCTACAGAAACCTATTCTGGCCAAGTAACCGGAATAACAAGATGCACTAGCTTTCTTATCTCGTAGTACATAAAAAATCTGTAACAAAGAGCTTGGTGAAGAACCATAATTTTCTTTATAATATTCTTAGTGGAGATAAATAATTTTTGTGGTTTTGTAGCTCGATTCCTACATTGGATGGTGTTTCTCCCTAGCCTTCCTTCATGGTGCAACAGAAGTAAGCATGGGTAAATCAGAAAACAATAATTTCGTTGCACAGGAACAGTACCAACAATAACAATAATCCCTTCTCAACTTCTTTCTAGCCTGGCTCAAAGGATTTATTGAACAGTTTTGAGAATTAGGTTTATTTTCTTCTGAATAACAGTTCTGCAAATTATGTATCTAACTTCTCTGCTCAAGTTCTAGTTAGGTGTTACAGGATCATTCTGAAAGAACAGATATAATTCTTTTTTTTTAAGATTTTATTTACTTATTTTTAGAAAGAGGAGAAGAGAGACAAAAAGAGAGGGAGAAAAACATCAATGTGTGGTTGCCTCTCATGCAACCCCCACCGGGGACCTGACCTGCAACCCAGGCATGTGCCTTGACTGGGAATTGAACTGGTGACCCTTTGGTTTGCAGGCCAGCGCTCAGTCTACGGAGGCACACCAGCCAGGACAGAACAGATATATATCTAACAGTAGCAGCACTAGTCTGTATCTAGAGCCAGATCTTTTAGACTATTACCACAATCACACAAAATAATCCGACTATGTTTGTCATCAGTTTATTATTTTCTAAATCTTAAACAGAGGTATATATTGCCATAATTATCAGACAATATCAATATATTTTCCCATACTCCGTAATGTTTAGCAAATCCTATGTGAACAGATTCACTCTCTGACCTTAAAAAATTAGTATATTACAGTCATGTGTATTTTAAGAGTTAAGAATCCCAAAGAAATATTACCAATATAACTTAGAAACTTTCTTAAAAAGTTATTTTGATTATTATAAGTTACTCTAAGGGCTTCTACAACTACAGTACACATTTAAAAAAATTCTTTGAAGCATAGTATTATTTAATATTACCAGTTGACAGAAGTCTTAAAAATAATATTCTAAATATTTGGGCTTTATGCTTAGCTTTCTCTATGTCAGTTAATTGTGCTACAACCAAGAGAGTTAGACAAGCCAGACACTCTGTTGTCATGGGCCCATCTCTGTTTTCCTTCTGCACGTACTATCTATCACTAAACTTAGGTAGATTAAACTTTTTATCTATATTTCAAACACAACTATGGGTTTCTATCTAAACTACTACTGTTCACTTTCACTCTATGATTATCATTTTCCTGGAATAACATTTTAATTTATCTCTCTGCATTTTCTTTTGCCTTTCCAACCTCTTTTCTAAAATTTACTCTTATGAGCTTCTTATCTTTCCATTAAATTTCTAAATAAAACCAATTGCTTATAGATTATAGGACAACTTTCTGATCAGAATCAAAGGGTCCTACACAACCCTGCCATAACAGCTTCTCTCAAATCATTTAGGTTTTTTCGTTCATGTATGTGTTTCTATATCTTCTACTGCAATATGAACAATATGAAATTTTTTTGTGTTCTTAGGGCACAGCACAATATAGAACTCAAAGATTTAGTTAGTTAATGATTTAATGATTGCTTTCTGTGTAACAGTTACATTGCCCTTAATACTTTTCAAAAGCTCCATGCAATTTCCAATGTAGGGTCATTTAAAATACTTTTTATTTCCGTTTAAGTACCTGTCTTTTATTGCTATGCTTTATTCAATTTTGCTCAATGTAAAGGTTCAGCAAGAAGATTTTACTGCTCTTGAATGTTAGATAAATTTCTTGTATTTTTATATAACTATTTTTTCATTATACTAATTATCACATGTTAATCTTTGATTTTATTTATTTCATATCTGTACTTTCCATTCCAGTGAAGCAGGGAAGAGGCTTGTATTGTTTCGTTTACTCTCAGATAATCAGAGTTGTATCTAGTGCTAAAAACATAGTAGCACTATAAATTAATCATGTGTTATTAGTATATTAACATTTATTGTTAAATCAGTACCTCTTAATTAGATGCCAAATACAGATGACATTTCAGTTCACTTAGGCTTACTTTCTTTTTAGGTGTGCAAGAATAAGGAGTGTGGAAGTAATTACTTGGCTTATGACTGTACTCCACAAAAATGCAACTCTCAAGGTGTAAGTACCACTATTATGATGCAAGAATAGAGATCGTTGAGAGTAATCCTAGGAAAGCACACATGCAACTAAACACACACACAAGACACAACATGCTCATAAACCACATTTAAAAACTCAGCCTTATCTGACTTCAGTATAATTCTAAAATTCTACTTGAACCCCAAACTTTTGAGCTATTTATGTTATGACATTTCTCCCGTTTTCAGGTATGCAACAATGCAAAGAACTGTCACTGTAACCAGGGCTATTTACCTCCAGATTGCAACACTGTGCAAGATTCATGGCCTGGAGGGAGTATTAACAGTGGCAATTTTCCATCTGTAGGATCCCGCAGTCCTGGTAAGTATTAGTAACAAATTAAAAACATAATTAAAACAATGTTTTTATTTATTAAATTAAAATGAATACTATTTTGTCTACCAGTTTATATTTAGATAATGTTTGGACATCAAATAATAAATCATATATAGCTATTTAATTTATGTTTTTATTACAGAGAATAATGTAATAGAACATATTTAACTTTCATTGTAGATGAGACAGGTCAGCAAGGGCCAGGCAGAAAGATAAAAATCACTTTAGTTTTCTATACAGAAAAAATTTAATATAAAGCATCAGGTAAGACATAATAGCAGAGATAAAAACCAATCAGAGAATAGTGAGGCAAGCCAGCAATTAGCAACAGCAGGAATTCATGATCACTCCTTGGGTCTGGTGGGACAATGAAAAGAGGTGGTATTTCTGAAACCAGAATCTGAGCCATGTGCCTACACCACAGGGAGAGATACTGTTCAGCATAAGATGCAGAGGTAGTGAGCATCGAGCAGAAGGGAGGATAAATGCCATGGATATTTTACTCTTCTGACACTCTTCCATCCAGTGCCTCCTATCAGCTAGATCTAACTGGAAGACAGAAAGTCAAGAAGCTTGGGAGATGTAGTTTCCTACAATATTTTGTTCATGGTTAGGGCCTGACTTCTTTTTTATAAAAATTTGAATTTGCATATAATTAAAGCAGGTTTTTCCAGATTTTGAGCCAGAGGTAGTTCTTAAGATTTCCACATTCATTCCATTGTTTAAGGTCATATGATGATAGATTACTAAATCATAACATATTTAAGCATTATCAATCTGTTTCCATTTTAGGAGTAACACTGATCTTGCAGTAGCTTATGTTCAAATCAGATGCTATTCATTGCTTCTGTTCATGCACACACATGCCATTTCCTAAGAACACAGGAGATCACTCCTTTTGTAGAATCCAGACTGACCTTAGTGATATGATTAGTCAGTAAAAATTATAGAAGTGAGATTCTGGGACTTCCATGGTCTTTCTGCACATTATGATTGGGTCTTTTAGATGAGTAATTCTTGGAACTCTCCATGTTGGAACACATATTGTGTTGAAACTCATCTGCTCTGCATGAAGCTTGACTACATTGAGACACAAAAACATAACTATACAACTAAGCCCTCCCCAAATTCATGACCCACAAAATAATCAAATTTAAATGATTATTGTAAGTTACTAAATTTATGACTAGTTTCTTACACAGCATGCTCTCTCTCTCATATATATGTATATATGTACATATGTGTATGTGTGTATATATATATATATATATATATGTATAAATGAAAACAACTTGCTACCAGAAAGTGTATTTATATAACAAGTATCTACAATAAAACATGGTCTTAGCTTTGGAATTGGTTGGCATGTGGTAGAAAGACCTCCAGGAAACTGTTGAAGACTCTTGGTATAAGATAACATTGTCTTGAGAAGACAGTTTGTGAGCAATTCAAAAGCATGTTATTAGAAGTTGGAAAAATGAGTTTTATTATCAAGCGGTGAGTTATTTGGCATCATTACTTCCTGTGGTAATGTGTAAAGTAGAGTCCATGATTCTTGTTGGCAAGATTTTCAGGTAGATTATAAAGATTCGCAAGTAGGCGACTTAAATTATTGACATCTATGATTAAATATAAGAAGATGGTAAAAATTAATAAAGAAACAGTTCATTTTTTAAGTAAAATGTAGAGTAAATGTAAAAGAGCTAATTTTTTTGCTTGAAAATGAAAGTAGTTATTATTCCCAGTCTGTTCCAGAAAAAAATTCTTAAAATAAGAAATGTCTAACAGCCTAATTTGAGATATTAAACAATAGAATTTGATCTCAGAAAAACATTAAATCATGCATGTGACTCTAAACCCCTCTATGAAAAACCTCAAAAAACTTAAAGTGATGTCTCTTAGATATCTTCATCTAAACAAAATCCCTTCTACACAATCCCTTCTTGTGTTGAAGGGATATAAAAACTCTCAAAGGCTACTAAGAATCTTAAATATGTTGTTCCATGGCAGTCTGGCCAGCCCAATATAGAAGAAGGCTTATCTCAAAGAGAGTGTGAGTATGACCTTTATTTAATGAGGTTTATATCATCATCATCATCATCATCTTAAATTTTTATAAGTGTTTATTTGAGCCAAACTGACAAATATGCTGAAGAGCAAGATCTCAAACTGCTCCCTGGAGTATACTTTTATTTTATATACAAGAAACTCACACATTTTTAAAGAAAGTACATCAGCTCATAATTGAAAGTGATCTCAATAGCACATATGCTCTTTGAGTCCCAATTTTGGGAAAGAAGCTACTCAGATATAAGAAGGGTTATTCCTGCCCTGGCTGGTGAGGCTCAGTAGATTGAGTGCAGGCCTGCAAACCAAAAGGTTGCTGGTTCAATTCCCACTCGGGTCACATGCATGGACCTACGGGCCAGGTCCCCAGTAGGAGGCAAGTGAGAGGCAACCAACCACACATCGATGTTTCCCTCCCTCTTTATCTCCCTCCCCTCTCTCTGAAAATAAAATATTTTGAAAAAGGGAGGGGACTACTTTTAATGAAAAAGGAATTATAAATTAAAGGTATTACAAAAAAACTAGAAGTCAAAACGGCTTAGGTCCGTGGATTTATGTTTTTTTAAAAAAATCACCACCAGCAAATATAAACAAAATTATAAGTCTAGATGGTGAAAATACATATTAACTCCACTAATTTTTTTCACAAAAGACATACCATTTTATGAAACTGGTGGAAGGACTCCTGTCACCTCATTGCATGAGGAAAACATAACCCTGGTGCCAAATCCACACAAGGACTTTATTTTTTTTTTTATATTTTTTTTTTGGTTTTTTTTTTTAATTATATTTACAAGGACTTTAAAAAAATTGCAGAATAATTTCTCTTATGAATGTAGATCTAAATGTTCTCCAAAACTACTGTTTCTATTTTCAAGACCATAAGACACACATAGGTTTTAGAGGAGCAAAATAGAAAAAAATTTGAAGCAAAAAATGTGATAAAATATTTAATAACATAAATAATATAATATTTCACCTATGTAAATGCAAACAGAACTCAACAGCAGCAATAACAACCATTGTTCCTCCCAAATTTGGGGGGAGGAGAATGTGCATCTTACAGTCCAAAAAAATATGGTACTTCATGTATGTATCTGTACATATATATTTAAAGGATAATAATGCAGACTTTGTGAGGTTTATCACAAGAAAGCGAAATTTATCATTTGAAAGTCAATCAAGAACAATTCACTAAATCAAGAAACTTTTTTAAGTACACAGTTTTTTTCATTTAATGCAGAAAAATAATTTGACAAAGTTCACCACCTCAGTGTTTTGTGGGGAGCAGGGACACACAAACCTTGGAACCATAACTCGTTTCTATTCCAACTTCTTATTGCTTCCAGAAGATACCGACTAACATTTGTAGTTACTAATTTAATCCCTGGGGGGAAAGTATGGCTTAGAATGGGTGTCAATCCTGGCCCAATAACCAGTGGCCACAGGGCAGGGTCCCAAATTACAGAAATCATTGCACTTGTCCAACTCTGCCGGAAGCGGGAAGTTCTCTGGAAAGGGGCGTGCACTAAGCACCCGCAGCAAAGCGCATCTTTTACACGCCACCGAAGCCTACCCAGGCAGCTCTCCTACAGCCTGAAGCACTTTCTGCCACATTGTTTTAAAAAACATAGCTTTCTAATGTACTGTAATTGGTTTTGAGGGCACAGGCTGTGACTGATTCATATTTTTATATCCCCAGTGCCTGGGATAGCACCTAACACAAATGGGTGTTCAGTAATGTTCATTTTAAAGTTTTATTTATTTATATTTCTCCATTACCATTTATCCTCCTTAAATTCTCTCATCTCTCTCCATTCCCACAATTACTACACAGTTGTCCATGTCCATGAATCCTTTTTCTTTTTGGCTCTATCCCCCCACCTACTAACCAGTAAACTACTAACTTAAGTAAACTTCATCAATCTGATAAAAAGCATCAACAAAGAAACATAGTTAATATATTTTATAATGAAGTACATTGTTTTTCCCAAAATATTTATAATGGAATAAAGTCTGCATTTATGAGGTCTATTCAGCATTTTACCAAAAGTCCTAGACAATGCAATAAATAACAACAACAAAAAATAAACACAAGAATTCCAGAGTATAAAGATTGGAAAGAATTAAGTGAGTTTGCAGATGATAAGGTTAATTACATAGAAAATCCTAAAGAATCTATAAACCCACTTGTAGAAGTAATAAATATTTTTGAAAGTTCAAAGGAAAAATATCAAAAAATCAATAGTATTATTATATAATAGCAGCAGTAAGTGGAAATCAATATCAATATCATTTACAATGCTGTAAAATATAAAATATTAAGAACATATTTAACAAAAGGTGTGCAGGACCTTTACACTGAAGCTAAAACAAAATTGAGGTGAGTGTTAAACATACAAGTAAATGGAGAAATATGCCATATTTGGCTACTGGAAGGTTTATTATTGCTAAAATTTCAATTATCACCAAATTAAATCTACAGATTTAAAAACAATTATAAAAGCATGCAACTTTTTAGATATTAACAATTTCATTCTAAAAAACAAAAGAGAGACTAGAAAAGCCAAACAACCCTGAAAAAGAATGACAAAGACAACTTAGGCTATTTGTTTTGTTGTCTTATATTGAATTTAATATAGTACAGATTTTGTATATGGTTACATACATCAAGACAGTGAGGCATTTTTAAAGGATATACAAGTAGATCAACAGAATGAAGTAGGGAGCTCAGAAATTTACCCGTTAATATAAATAAGGTTAATCAATTTTTCAAAAATTTTCAAGAAAAGTCCAAAAATAGTTTAATGGGGAAGGAAAGACTGTTCAAAGCATTGTACTGTAACAACTGGATACCCACATAAGGCCCAAGAACCTCAAAAATCACAACTTATGTAATAATTTATATAGGATGGATCACAGACTAAAGGAAGATGCTAATACTATAAATCTTCTTGAAAGAAACACAGGGAAATTTTTCCATGATTTTTGGATTAGCAATCACTTCTTAGATAAAACATGGAAATATATATACAATGCAAAAAGTTAAGATAATTTGGGCTTTACTAAAATTTTATTATATGTACCATATTTATTATTAAATATAGGAATTAAGAAAAGCTCAACTTTTATAAGCATTACACTTTAATTTTTTAATCTATATTATCAGAGAGTTCTGAAAAGAGACTACATGGAATAGAAAGTTCTCAATCAAAAGCAAGGGATAGAACTATTATTATAAGAGTTAGAAGAGTGTCTTTTGGCACTTACACTATCAACTTATCTATTTGATTAAAATGTTAACTATAAAATTATTAAATAGTTAATATTTTTTATTCTAATAGTTATATTAAAATACAGAAATGTCTTTGCTATGTTCCTTGTAATTACTTTTAAATCACTGGTGTTTTCTTTCCTAGAAAGACTTTATATCGAGAATGCTTACCCTTCCAGACCTACGAGATGGCCATTTTTCCTACTCATTCCTTTTGCCATTGTTCTCTCTGTAATGATTGCAACCCTGGTAAAAGTTTATTTTCAAAGGAAAAAGTGGAAAACTGAGGAGTATACAAGCGATGAGTATATTGATTTCATATTTAAGATTCATTAATTTTATAGCTGTTGACACACATAGTAATTTATTATTAACTAACATTGTGATAACATTACTAGTAATAATTTCTATTTAATTTTATCTTTATATAGAAATTCAGCACTTAATATGCTAAACTGTCAGCAATTTTAATCTTATAACCACTTGGACTCTGTTAAGGATAAAATTAAGTGAAACTTATTTCTAGTTAATCTTTACCTCTTTTAATTATTTGATCTTAAATATTGAATGTGTATTAAGCATTACCATTTTATTTTTAATATTTATATATTTAAAAATGTTTTGTATGCACTGTTTTATTAAAAAATGCCAGGGAAATTAGTGAGAATAGTTATCTTTATATGTAGTTTAATAAATTGAAAATAAGCAGCCAGAAGTAGAAAAATTTAAATATTAATATGTAATAATAGTAAGACTAAAAAATCTAGATCATAGCTGTTGCTAACCTACAGAAAAAATAAAACAAATAAATTTTCAATAAAAAGTTTAGAAATACCTGAAAGCATGCTTTAAAAATAAAAATAAATATTAAAATCACTTTAAATCTTTTCAGGAAAAGTGATATAAAATAATTTCTGCTTGGTCATATGTGAGAAACCTACAGCCAACATCATATTCAATGGGCAAAAACTAAAAGCTTTCCCACTAAGATCAGGAACAAGACAAGGATGTCTGCTTTCACCACCTTTATTCAACATAGTATTGGAAGTCCTAGCCACAGCAATTAGACAAGAAAAAGAAATGAAAGGCGTTCAAATTGGAAAGGAGGAAGTAAAACTGTTACTATTTACAGATGCCATGATAGTGTACATAGAAAACCCTATAGTCTCCACTAAAAAGCTATTCAACCTAATAAGTGAATCTGGAAAAATAGCAGGATACAAAGTCAATATTCAGAAATCAAAGGCATTTTTGTACACCAACAATGAAATATCAAAAACAGAAACTATGAAAAAACATCCCATTTACTATAGCAACAAAAAAATAAAATAAAATAAAGTATCTAGGAATAAACTTAACCAAGAAGGTAAAAGACCTGTACTCAGAAAAGTACAGAACATTGAAGAAAGAAATTAAAGAAGATACAAATGAATGAAAGCTAATACCATGTTCATGGATAGGAAGAATTAACATCATCAAAATGTCCATACTACTCAAAGCAGTGTATAGATTCAGTGCAATACATATAGAAATACCAGTGACATATTTCACAGATATAGAACAAATATTTCAAAAATTTATGGGAACCATAAATGATCCTAAATAGCCTCAGCAATCAGGAGTAAGAAGGCAAAGTAAGAGGGATCACAATACTGCTATCAAACTATACTATAAGGCCACTGTAATCAAAAGAGTCTGGTACTGGCATAAGAACAGATACATAAAACAATGGAATAGAATAAAGAGCCCAGAAACAAATCCATGTCTCTATGGTTAATTAATATTTGACAAAGGGGGCAGGAGCATAAAATGGAGTAAAAATAGTCTCTTCGACAAATGGTATTGGGAGATCTGGACCCAAGTATGTGCAAAAATATGAAACTAGACTACCAACTAACACCATAAACCAAAATAAACTCAAGATGGATAAAAGACTTAAATATAAGATGTGATACCATAAAAGTCCTAGAGGAGAACATAAGCAGGAAAATGTCAGATACCTCATGTGACAATTTTTTCACAAATACCTCCCCTAGAGCAAGGGATATAAAGAAAAGAATAAATAAATGAGACCTCATCAAAATAAAAATCTCCTCTGCACAGCTAAAGAAAGCACCAGCAAAATGAAAAGAGATCAACCATATGGGAAAACATATTTTCCAATGATATCTCAAACAAGGCTTTGATCTCCAAAATATATAAATAACTCATATGACTTAACACCAGGAAGACAAACAATCTAGTTAAAAAATGAGCAAAGGACCTGAATAGACATTTCTCCAAGGAAATAATACACAGATGGCCCATAGACATATGAAAGGATGCTCAACATCACTAGGCATCAGAGAGATGCAAATTAAAACCACAATTTCCCCACACCATTAAGAAGATCATCATTAATAAATAAACAAACAAGCGATGGTGAGGATGTGGAGAAAGGAGAGCCCAGCCCTAGTGCACTTTTGGGAAGAATGCAGACTGTGGAAAACAGTATGGTATTTCCTAAAATTTTTTTTAAATTACTAAGCAATTCCACTGCTAGAACTATACTCTAAGAATCCTGAAACATCAATTCAAAAGAACCTATGCACCTTCTATGCTCATAGCAGCATTATTTACAATAGCCAAATACTGGAAGCAGCCTAAGTGCTCATCAGTAAATGAGTGGGTTAAAAAACTGGTACATTTACACATAGAATACTGCACAGCAGAAAGAAACTCCTGCTTTTCACAACAGCATAGATGGAACTGGAGAATATTATATTAAGTGTAATAAGCCAGGTGGTGAAAGACTAATACCATATGGTATCACCTATAAGTGGAATTTAATGAATAAAATAAACAAGTGAGCAAAATAGAATAAGAGACATGGAAATAAAGAAAAAACTGACAGTGACCAGGGGGATAATGCAAGAAACGAGGGGAAGGTTCAAGTCAAGGACCATGTATAAAGTACCTGTGGACAAGGACGACAGGGTGGGGATTGACCATGGCATCAGGGGGTGGGCTGGGTGAAGAGAGCAAAGGGAGAAATTTGAAATAACTGCAAATAAACAACAATAAAGTGTTTAATTAAAAAATCATAATTTCGACCTTTGCATTCTATATCTGGGTCCTCCATTTCACTTAAATTGAATTGAAGTTTATTATAATATTTAAAGTTGAGAAAATAATATAAATTAAGAGTAAATATAATTCATAGAAATATTTTGAAAAGCTTATGTAAAATTGCTTAAGTAATATGCAGCTTGTATAACAGTTAACTGTGTCAACATACAGTTAATACTGAAAACATACTAAAGGAATTTTTTATATTGAATGACTTCATTGTGGAAAAATTGATATCACATATCTGATGGAAAATTAGTAAAATAATAGAAATAAGTTGGGCAAGATTAAAAACTTAAATGTAAGACGTGAAACATTAAAAGCTGTAGAAGAAATCATAGGCAGTAAAATCTGTAGCATTTCTTTTGGCAATATTTTTTCTGAGATATATCCCTGGTCAAGGGAAACAAAAGAAAAAAGTAAACAAATGGCACTACATTAAACTAAAATGACTTTGTAAACCAAAGGAAACCATTAACAAACTAAAAAGACAACCTACTGAATGAAGGAAGATATTTGCCAATGATACATCTGATTATATCCAAAGTTTATTAAAAAACTTGGATAACTCAACACAAGAGAAACAAACAATTCAATTTAAAAAGGGGCAGGGGACCTAAATAGATACTTCTCCAAAAAAAACATACTAATGACCAATTATCAGAGAAAGGAAAATTAAAACCACCATAAAATATTACATCACACCTGTCAGAATGGCTATCATCAATACATCAACAAATGAGTCTCAGTGAGGATGTGAAGAAAAGGAACCCCTCATGCATTGTTGATGGAAATGCTGGTGTAGCCACTATGAAAAACATTATGGAGCTTCCTCAAAAAGTTAAAAATGAAACTACCTATGACCCAGCAATTCCACTTCTGAGTGTATATGTGAGGAATCTCAAAGCACTAATTTGAAAGAATATATCCACCTCTATGTTCATTACAGCATTATCTATTGAATACAATAGCTAAGATATAGAAGTAACCAAAGAGCCCATCTGGATAAAAAAAGCCTATCTATCAATAGATGAGTGGATAAAAAAGCAGTGGTGTGTGTGTGTATATGTGTGTGTGTATAGTAATATAGTATATATAGTAATATAGTAATATAGTATATATTACTATACACACATAGGAATATATAGGAATATAGTAATATTCCTATATTTATAATATTTTAATATAGTAATATAGCATATTAACAATATACTATACATTGTTATATATAGTAGTATATTACTATATAGTATTATTTAATATCTATTACTATGTACAGTAATATGCATTACTATATATTACTATACAGTATAGTGTATGTTATATAGTATATATAGTGATATGTACTTATATAATAAATTACTGTGATGTATATAGTATATATTACCATAGTACATTACTATTAGTATATTATATAACAGCATGTTACTATTAGTATAGAATATATATTACTATAGTTATACATTATGTGTATTACTGTATAGTATATATAGTTTACAGTATATAATATAATATAATAGACAATTGTTTGCCATAAAAGCAATAAAATTTTACCATTTACAATAGCATGGATGAACATAGAGGGTATTATGCTCAGTGAAATAGTCAGAGAAAGACAATTACCATATGATTTCACAAACATGTGGAATCTAAAGAACAAAATAAACAAAATTGAAACAGACTCATAGATAAAGCGAACAGACTAATAGTTGCCAGAAGCGGTAGGGGTTGGAGGACTGGGTGTAAAAGGTGAAGGGATTAACAAGTACAAATTGGTCATTTCAAAATACTCATGGGGATGTCAAGTACAGCATAGGGAACACACCCAATAATATTGTAATAACTACATATGGTGCCAGGTGGGCCCTGGAAATATCAGGATAAAATATATGATAGTCTAATCACTATGCTGTACATCTTAAACTAATACAAAATAATATTGAATGTAACCTGTAATTGAAAACAGTTTTAAGTAAATAAATAAAAGAAAGAAATAGGGCATAAGATGAGTGCCAAAAAAAGTTTAAATAAAGGTATTTAGCTAATCATGTTTTAAATATGAAAGTGACCTGAGTTCATTTTCAGGAAAACTTACATTACCATGCTTTTTTCTCATGTTAATCTTACTTACCAGCTGAAAGATAATTCAGTGGTAAAGTAGTCTCAAGTACGGGCTGTTTCCAGATCTCAGCTGGGAATTCAAAACTGTTTCAGTACTAGCAGGTGGTACAGAGTTTTGTACAGCAATCTTTGAAGAAGATATAATTGTAAGTGATTATATTTGTTTTTAAATGTACAGGGAAGTTGAAAGTGAGACTGAAAGCAGAGAGTAACCCAGAAAACAGAGAATCGATGAGATTATAGTGAGTATCAAATTATTTCACAGATGAGATGGAGAGACAAATTTTAATGTATTGGATAAATATAAATAACATAAATGTGTATTAAATGGTAGTAGTCATACAGATGCATATAATGAAAATTAAATTGGATAATATTTTTCAATAATGTAAACTACATTATATATTAGTAAACTATAAAAGTAGAATATAAATGACATTCAATTTTTCATTTAAAATTTCTTGCAGTGTTATCCTTTAAATTTTTTTTCCTAATGTTGAATTCTTTAGTATTTGTGTATTCAAATGTTGGTTTAGAATAAATTACATTATCAAACTCTATAATAAGGTTTCCTTCGTGCTATTTGTTGGACTAACCACCATTTTTAGCCTGATTGGGCATATAGGTGACTTTTTTCCCTTTATTCTTCCACAGTAATTATCTTCAATGGACAGGAAAAATGGAAAAGAAAAAATACATGCGTTGCCTGATTGCCTGGGATTCAAAACCTGCAAATTATTGTTTTGACCTGACAAGAAAAAAATTAGAAGCTTTCATATGTAATTTAGGTTATATCATACTATTTAAAAGTTATATAACATACATATATATTTATTTAATTCCACAGACACTTATTTGTTTATGAGTGTTTATATTACATATTTTTAAAGTTATACTAATTCTGCTAGTCAGTAGAAACAAAATGATAGTCAGCAGACATGAGATGAGAAGATGTTATAATAAATGCAATGCCTTGATTAAAAGCCACTGTTACATTTTAAATTGCAAAATTATATAGTTATGTTATTATCTGATTGTCCACAAACACTCAAAAGAAAGCTTGATAGACTTTAATAGTGAAAGCATTAGTAAAGATAAAGAATATATCATAATATAAATTGGCAGTTTAACAGAAATCTACAGTGATACATATGCATTAGTGAGCATTCTCCAGAGAAACAGAACCAATAGGTGAAGATAGATCTATAGATTAGATAGATAGAAAGATAGATAGATAATAGAGTGATAGATAGATAGATAGATAGATAGATAGATAGATAGATAGATAGAAAGATAGATAGATAATAGAGAGATAGATGAAATGCAGCTAAAGAGATTTATTATAGAAATTGGCTTACATGGTTATAGAGGCCAAAAAGTCCCATAATCTGCCATCTACAAGTTGGAGAACAAGAAAGGTTGGTGGTATAATCAGTATGAGTTTGAAGGCCTGACAATTGGGGATCCTATGGTGTAAGTCCCAGTCTGAGTCCCAAAACCCAAGAATCAGGATGCCAATGGATATCCAAGGGCAGGAAAAAGATGGATGCCTCAGCTCTAGCAGAGAGCAAATTCAACTTTCTCCACTTGTTCTACTTAGGCTCTCATGGGATTGGATGATGCCTCTTTGCATTGATGACAATAATCTTCATTCAGTCTAATGATTCAAATACTAATCTCTTCCAAAGACATACTCATAGACACATTCAGACATAATGTTTTTATCAGATATCTGGGCACCACCAAGTTAATCATCATAAGTGTACCCTTTGCCAGCTTGGCCCCTATGTGTATCACCTGAAACCCTATTAATTTCTAAATAGATATATAACTCGGCCTAACATGACATGACTATCCTGCATGCAACCAGAAATGCACTAATTCCTTCCTCAGAAGATAAAATATAATCCTTGAATAATGTTTACTCTTCTCCAGATATCTCTTAACTTAAATACTATGAGATAATGTTAACAATACTTAAATACTGATATAAAGTCCATGCATCTTACGTTACATGTTAGGGGAATAAGAGAGGAGGGAAAACAAAGGTATTTCTTTGATATATGTATATACACACACAAGTATATTCATAACAAAACAAGGAGGAAATATGACATTACCCATCATTTTTATAACTGGTCATGTCATTATAGCTGGTATTTGTTCTACTACTTAATTCTACCTAATTCTACCACCCATTCTGCATTCTCTTTGACTTCAGCAGGCACCTGAGCTGGTTTGGTGAGTCAAACCTTCACTTCTAAAGGCTCTGAACCATTATTAGTCCTGTCTTGATTGAGCTGTAGTTTTCCATTGACTTTAACCACAGGGTACGGTAATACAAAGAGACAAACTAAAATATCTCCTTCATTCCAACCATACTCTTTCTTACCTCATACTACTTACCACTGCAGAGTAGTAGTCCAGTTTCCTCTTGGTAGTCAGAATCAATCACCTTACAGCCAACACCTTAACTCTCCTCTTTGCCTGTTTAATCAGAGGGATGAGGAACCCAAAGTGGGTTCTTAACCAGGTGGCAGTCTTAACTTTCAGTTCAAGGAATCATTGTGTCTCCTGATGGAAACATTTCTCCTTCTGAAACTAAGACCTCCAGGCCAGCAGAACATAAATTCATGAAAACAGGAAGCAAAAATTTCTCTATTTTGTCACTCAGGGTCACACTAAATGGTGCCACTTCTATTCTCACTCTCTGATTCCTGAACCCATGAATGCCATCTGTGGGAGGAGAACGTATATTGGATACTGCTTCAGAGCACATACAGTCCTCTGGAGAACCTTGCCCCAGTCCCGGAGGCTATTGTTATCTAGTGGGCACCACAGTTGGGTGTCTGAAAGGCCATTCTACCATTCTTTCAAGACAGCTGCTTCTGGTGGGTGAGAAACTTCTGATGTGGGGCATCACCACACTTCTCTTTTTTTTCCATTTTTAAATATATTTTCTTGATTATGCCTTTACAGTTGTCCCATTTCCTCCCTTTATCCCCTCCACCATGCTCACCCCCTCCCCTCATTCTCTCCCTTTAGTTCATGCCCATGTGTCAAAAGTTCTTTAGTTTCTATATTTCCCATACTATTCTTGTCCTCCCCCTGTCTATTTTCTCCCTACTGTCTATGCCACTTATTCTCTGTCCCTTCTCCCCCCTTTTCCTCCCACTCCCCTGTTGCTAACCCTCCATGTGATCTCCATTTCTCTGCTCCTGATCTAGCTGTCCTCTTAATTTGCCTTTGTTTTAGGTGTGGTTGTTAATAACTGTGAGTTTGCTGTCCTTTCACGGTTCATCTTTTTTATCTTCTTTTTCTTAGGCAAGTCCCTTTCACATTTCATATAATAAGGGCTTGGTGATGATGAACTCTTTGAATTTGATTTTATCTGAGCACTTTATCTGTCCTTCCATTCTAAATGAAAGCTTTGCTGGATAGAGCAATCTTGGATGTAGGTCTTTGGATTTCATGACTTGGAATATTTCTTTCCAGCCCCTTCTTGCCTGTGAGGTCTCTTTTGAGAAATCTGCTGACAGTCTGATGGGAACTCCTTTGTAGGTGACTGTCCCCGTAGCTCTTGCTGCTTCTAGGACTCCCTCCTTCATTTTAATTTTGGCTAATATGATTATGATGTGCCTTGGTGTGTTCCTCCTTGGGTCCAACTTCTTTGGGACTCTCTGAGCTTCCTGGACTTCCTGGAAGTCTATTGCCTTTGCCAGATTGAGGGAGTTCTCCTTTATTATTTGTTCAGATAAGTTTTCCACTTGTTGCTGTTCCTCTTCCCCTTCTGGTACCCCTATAATTCAGATGTTGGAACATTTAAAGATGTCCTGGAAGTTCCTAAGCCTCTCTTCCTTTTTTTGAATTCTTGTTTATTTCATTCTTTTCTGTTTGGTTGTTTCTTTCTCTTTTTTTAGTCCACTCCCTCGATTTGAATCCCAGTTTTCTTTCCATCGCTATTGGTTCCCTGTGAATTTTGCTTCATTTCACTTAGTGTAGTCTTCATTTTTTCATCTAATTTGTGACTAAAATTAACCAGTTCTGTGAGCATCCTGATCACCAGTGTTTTGAACTGTGTATCCAATAGGTTAGCTATCTCTTGGTCGCTTAGAAGTATTGGCTCTAGGACTTTGAGCTGTTCTTCTGCTTCAGCCATAATCTTTTGCTGTATAGTTAGTTTCTTGATCAGAAGCAATGCTGAGCAGAATACTGTGATGGTGGATAAGGCATTTGGTAAGTCCATAAATGGTAGTTTGGGCAGAAGCTTTGTACGTAAGGAAGGCAGATACAAATCCAGAGTAAGTTTGTATTCTGATAAGGAAAAAACACTGCCCCATCCATGATGGAAGTGGTCCAACATAACCAACCTGCCACCAGTTTAGCTTACTCATCATCCTAGTGAATGATGTTATATCTGGAGCTCAGTGATGACAGACTAAGAACTCAGCAGTGACTGTAACCAGATTAGGCTTGGTGAGTAAAATTTCATGTTGCTGAAACTCCACTTTTTGTAAACTCCACCCTTGCCATCATAGTCACAGTGAGGTCACTGGGGGATAACAGGTATTACTAGGTATAGAGGCTGACTAGTACCCACAGAATGGGTCTTCCTTTCCACCTGATTATTGAAATCCTCCTCTGATGAGGTCACCCTTTAGTGAGCATCCACATGGGACCCGACAGAGCCAGGTAGGTGTAGGAGGAATAGAGAATCACCAGGTGGGAAATCTGTACCATGAGAAACTACAGCCTGGGAAAATGCCTGCTGACCCTACCCAGGACCAACAGGAGCCTGGCTAAGATTGGGGTCTGAGGTCAGCCTATCCAGCATAACAGGATGCAGCTTTAACTCGAGCCTGACGAGATGTATCAAGAGCAATGGTCGGCAGAAATGGCACCCAGCAACCAGCTGTAGCCAATCAGACTCTGACACTCCAACCAGTTACCCTTCATGGGTTTTTGTGCTTAAAAACCTTTCCTTAAGAAAACCAAGTGAGTCTTAAACTCTTTTGGTTGGCTCCCCAACCTCCCTTGGTTGGCTTCACTTTTCCTTCTTATTCCCCACGAATAAACCCTTGGTTCCTTAGCTCGCTGTATCCACCTGGTTTCTTGAGTGACTCCGACCTAACAGGACCCAAATATCTTTAAGATCTTTGCCAATTCAGAGATGTCTATCCACGTGTTATTCTAAAATTTTTGCCCATTCATA